CCAAACAGGACGAAACAGCTGTCCAGTGCTCTTTGTTGGTTATCACAAATATTTCCGTTCGCATCTGAAGGATTACTCTTTGTCAAAATTGACGATCAAATCATGTATGCGTAGAAAAGACCATGTGGACGCGGGACTAATAGATTCGGCAAACACGTGATTGTCCTAGGAATTCGGAATATATGGCTAGCCACGGCATGGTCAATACAGTGGTGTGTGTATGTGTGGACTGCAGTTTATCGAACGCCAATTTTATGTCCTACAGTCACGATCCACATGTATCTTGTGTTCCCGGCCCGACTGTCAACTGACGGCCAAAAGGTACCGGGGATTACCACGAGGAGGCTTAAAATGAGAGCTTTTCTAGCTGCGCTAGGGACGACCACATTGCCTTCGTGTCACTTTCATTTAATGAAGATTTATTCTTATTCAGAAGTGCATCGAGTAGAACGATTTGTAGAAAGCGTTTGTTCTCAGGGATGACTCCGTGACCGACCGAAGAAGAATTAACGGCGGGGAATCGGATTTATCGCTTCTCATAGGTTTAGGCATTTTTAACCACAGCTGGAGAACATTTGATGAGGTTTACAGTGAAGTAAGTGAACTGGATTGTTTTGGTCTGTTGTCGAGGCTTGAGCCGTAATGATTCTACTTAACGGTTTCGACTGCTACCTGATATGATTTGGATCTCTAAGGACCCTGAGGCTGCAGCTTTCTGTCTTGCAGGTGTTGATGTGATTCTCAGTTAGACAGCTGAAACCGCACTCCTGGATTGGATCTCAGTAGACAGTGAGTTATGCGCAGTGAGACTCAGAGGTTCGTCCAAAGTAAGCAGCCGTCACCGCGATACACGAAAGTTATTTTTCTTGTCAGCGTACGCTCCAGCGGACTGCAGCCCAAATGCAGTCAACGATGAATTTTTCCACTTTCTACACGACCTTTTTCGGAAAGTGAATCGGGTTGAGGTCGTGAATGCTCGAGTAGGTCGGCTGATTTCGAGTGAGGTGCACTTGGGAGGTCTTTTCGGATTATATTCCTATGGCAAATGGGGAACGGCTGTTGGCTGTGTGCTCTGATCACCGCCTGTTCCTTGCCAGTAAGAACTTCAGACTTTCCAAATGCCGGTACACCACTTGCCGTCCACCCTCCTCAGGTCAGAGATCTACGCAGATCGACCACATCGCTATAAGTCACAAATGGCGGGGTTTTACACAAGACTGCCGATCGTACTGGAACACTTCCGTCGAATACGCCCACGTGTTAGTTTAAGTCAAGCAGTCTGTGTGCTTCGGTGGGCGTTCTAGACACACGACAAAATGACGGTTAGCATGTGATAAGTTGTTTTAAACAGCACGCCTAACTGTCCTTCAGAATGAACTAGCTAAAATGCTAGAACCAACCCCACCCGATGCCTTTAACCAGCGCTAATTGCCTATCAAGAATGCTCTGCATTCTGCTGGATTAATTGGTTGTGATCTGACACGTCGTGGCGCGATACCATGGATTTCTGCGGATTCCTTACGCCTTCTCGTTGCACGCCAATCAATCCCGACTGGAAGCAAGCATAGTTAAACACGAATCATGTCGAAACGTGAAATTAATGCAAGCCTACGCAGAAACCGCGAGATCTGGTGGACTGAACGCGCGTTAGAGATGGAAGTGCTGTCATCATGGGAAACTCCCGTAAGCTGTTGCATCTCATCTGGGTCACCGGTAAGACGGCCCCGAGTGTGCGTGAAACGATCATAATCAAAAGAGACATCTTGCACGCTGGGTGGGGCACATTGAGACACAGGTTAACTGGCCCCCAGCGTCAACTCCTTACAGTGCTATTCTCGCACACGTCCCATGGCCTGTTCCAACAAACTCACGTTCTGGGGAGGAAATCCGAAAGGCAATTCAAGCCTTTGAACGTCACAAATAGTCGGGGTTCGATGGCCTTCCCCCGGCCCTATTTAAAGATGTGGAATAAAGCATGTCAGAGAACTACAAGTTTGGAACACAGTACAGGTCCTTTCCTCGTGAGGGAGGGGCAGTCTATTGTCGTCTCGATCTTCCAAAAAGAGCCCGCGCATTGACTGCGTCAATCATAGGGATACAAGCCTAATCCCAATAGCGTCAAAGTTGTTGGCGTCCGTCATTCTCCGCCGATTGTACACTACACGTGAGAAGCATACCCACGAGGAGCGGGCTGGGTTTTGCGCCGGTCGTTAGTGCATCGATCAAATCTTCACCCTCTAACAGCTGCAAGGGTAACGTCTTGCCTATCAAACACCACCGATTATTGTATTCTTAGACACCTGTGCGGCTTTCAACTCTGTCGAGAGGACCGCGCTATGGCACTGTTTATTGAGGAATGGAGTATCTGAGAAGTATGTGTCGATCCTGAAAGAGTCGTGCCTCAGGTCGGGTTAGGGTCTATGGTCAGCTTTCACCCCCTTCGCCGTCTCCAGTGGAGCTCGACAAGTTCGCCCTGTAACCCCATCACTTTTCAACTTTATCATAGAGAGTGTTCTACAGAATGTTTTATCCAGTCTAGCAAACAATGAAATAGAATTACACCCAGGCAACAGAGTCCTTGATTCTTCACAGTTTCACTCACTATCATGCGTCGCCGTTACTCACAGGATGATATCATTTGTTTCAAACGTGACAGGACATGCTTCGATAGTTCAGCGGTTTGTGCGACTCCGGTTTCTAGGCTTTACAAAAGAAATGCAAGCATGCAGGATGGCAACTTGCCCTTAATTGTACTCCTCTGTCAAAGATGACTCCCATCATTGGTCAGCACCGACAGTCGGCCCTTGTTTCCCAAAATGTCGGATTTAACTGGTGTCCTCGGATAGAGAATTCATACGAAAACGTGTGCTGTCTGTGTGCAAGAATCCTGGCTGAATAAGGACGTAGATGACTCTCTAGTGTCAATAGACGATTTTCAAGTTTACCGACAGGATCGTGAAACCGGAGGAAAAAAGACCGGAGGGGGTGTTGTCACATATGTCAATGTTTCCTGGTGTGGCAAGTCCAGGAAAAAGAACCGGAGGCGGTGTTGCCACATATGTCAAGTTTTCTGGTGTGGCAAGTCCCATTCTATTTGTCAGTAGTGCTCAAAAGGTATTGAGTGTCTAACTATACAGTGTCACCCTAGATTTTCCCGTTTTACTCACATAATTTTGATTAACTTGTATATAGCCCCTTACTGTACACAGTCCGATGGTATATCTTTCTTTAACTCATCCATACCTTATATTGCTCCACTTTTAGATGTTAACCTGCACATAACCGTTGGAAAATTCAACCAGAATAGTACTTATCCACTTTTAACATCAGGTATGACAGATCTCTGTCACTCTCACACAAGAGGTAACTCTATACTGGACAGTTATTACCAACCACCCAGCCCTTTTTTATTTAGTACTAAAAGCTCCTATTTCCTCCAATGACCATTGCTTACTCTTAGTTCGACCTACAGTTTATCCACACAGTGCATACAAATCTTTCTCCCGATCTGAGCACATCAGATTTCGTTTTCGTAACTTCTCACCCAAACGTGTTTCTCT